ACAGGGTCAAGAAGGCGGAACAAGCCAGAGAACATAGGGTGCAGGCGCAGAAACCTCCGCCAGTTGTCTGCACCGGCCACCTTCCTCCAGCACTGCGCAGGCGCCTAGACGAACCAACCCTTCCCTCCCCCTTCCATCTCTCCCCTAGTCGAGAGGACGCCCTCCCGCAGCCCACAGTTCCTGCGCAAGCGCCGTCCCGCGTCCCCGCCTCCGGACCAATTGGAAGCGGCGGCGCCCGGGCGCAGGGGGCACAACGCCGTGGGTGGGGCCTGGACGTGAGGGCAGCGCGCTGGCGTCACAGGGCGGCTACATAAGTGAATACAGGCACCGCCCCTCCGCCCCAGTCACTGAGCCGCCGCCGAGGACTCAGCAGCCTCCCCCTCAAGCCCCTTAGCTTCCCGACGCTCCGTCCCCCCTGCCCGCCTTCTCCAGCCGCCGCCTTCCGCAGGCCGTTTCCACCGAGGAAAAGGAATCGTATCGTATGTCCGCTATCCAGAACCTCCACTCTTTCGGTAAGTCCCGGAAAGGTCCCAAGAGGAGCAAGGCCCGGGCGGGGCGCTCCGGGTCCGCAGCTAGGGCCCGGAAAGCTGCTGAGCGTTCCGTACCTTAGTGAACTTGGGTAGAGGAGAGATGTCTGGGCTCGCAGGCAGTGGGGCCGCGGCCTGGGCCCTGGGGTTGGCCCCTGAGCGCGACCGGAAGGAGCGGGCGGGAGGTCAGCCATTGGGCGGGTCCGGCGTCTCGGGTGGCGCATTTACTAATGGCTCCCTGGCCTTTTCGGGCCACACCCGCCCCTCCCGCCATCCTTTCGTCACATCCCATACGTCACGGCTGTTGTCACAGAGCCGGGAGGGAGAGGCGGTGCCAGCCTTGAGTGACAGCTGCGCGCGCCAATGGGGCGGGAAGCGGGGCCCCGCCTCGGAGCTTGGGTTCCGGCCGGTTGCATCAGCTGGGTGGGGCGCCGCCGGCCAACCCTGGCTCCCCCGCCATGTGATCGGCTTTCGAGGGCGGGCCTGGGGCAGGAAGCCCAGACTTTCTCCCGGACTGGGGAAGCCGGCCGTCCCGGACTGACCTGTTCGAGGAGAGCCAACAAAGAACATATGTGATCTGACCAGGCCCTGACGATTTCAGTATCAGTTTCTGCACACGGAAGAGATCCAGTGGGAGGGTGGCAGTGGGATCTGAGCACAGTAGAACTAAACGAGCTTGACCTTTCTTCCCAGACCCCTTTGCTGATGCAAGTAAGGGTGATGATCTGCTTCCTGCTGGCACTGAGGATTATATCCATATAAGAATTCAACAGAGAAACGGCCGGAAGACCCTTACTACTGTCCAAGGGATCGCTGATGACTACGATAAAAAGAAACTAGTGAAGGCGTTTAAGAAGGTAGGTGTTCAGTGAGATTGTAGGGAAATCGTATTTACCTTGCCTACATGGGGCTGCGGTCCTGTATTACTTTCTGGAAAGGGTTATTAGTGGCATTCAGGCCGTTGCGCTGCCTAACTTGTTTGCTTGCATTGTCCTTGCAGAAATTTGCCTGCAATGGAACTGTGATTGAGCATCCAGAATATGGAGAAGTAATTCAGCTACAGGGTGACCAGCGCAAGAACATATGCCAGTTCCTCGTAGAGGTGAGTTGTCACTTCCTGTTAGTGCATTTGTGCCTCTGCCCTGGCTAACTAATCTGAGATCTGCCTAGTCTAGTCCGTCTCTGCTGGGGACGTAGAAGTTTGTTTTCTAAGGCTAAGCCAAACAGTTGAGTTTTTGAAGTTCATAGACAAAATGTATTTCTGAAAGCAAGGGATTTGTCTGCCTTAAGTTTACTGTTTACATGGATCTGCTTTAAGGGTGCAATTGCATGCATCTGAGATACTAAAACAAGCAGGATGCCTGGTTGGCTGTTCCTAAGTGCTAAAATCCTATTGCACCATTGGTGGTTAACTGAGTGTACCCTGAGTTGAGAGCATCTGGGCTCTGGGACTTCTCTTGACCAGTGTAGAAGCAGGAAGACAGGATTGTTGTCATCAGAAATGGAGGCTTTAACTCTATTTCCTCTTTAAAACTGCCCTTTTTTCCTTTGCAGATTGGACTGGCTAAGGACGATCAGCTGAAGGTTCATGGGTTTTAAGTGCTCCTGGCTCACTGAAGCTTAAGTGAGGATTTCCTTGCAATGAGTAGAATTTTCCTCCTGTCCCTTGTCACAAGTTTAAAAACCTCACAGCTTGTGTAATGTAACCATTTGGGGTCTGCTTTTAACTTGGACTAGTGTAACTCCTTCATGCAATAAACTGAAAAGAGCCATGCTGTCTAGTCTTGAAGTCCCTCATTTAAACAGAGGTCAAGCAGTAGGCACCTGGCAGTGTCCGGCCTGAAACAAAGCAATAACGGTGATGTTTCAGCCAAGTCCAGAGCCCCAAGACCACAGGCGGCTATGTCTGGCCAGAAGCTCCTCAGCAATCCCTCTACAGAGTTCCCTGCCCTAAGAGAATGTCGCCACCTGAACAGCCCTCGGTGAAGCTGAGAGTGGAGGATGGGGTGAGGCAGCAACGGCAGCTGTACTGCTAGAGGGAGTCTTTGATCATCAGGGGAAAGATCCCGTGGTATCTCCAACGTGACCAGGTGGGCAGAGCTTAGAGCAGCCACCTTCCTTCTATCGAGGTGACAGGACATCTGGCTTGCCACCAAGGTCTTTTTGACCAGACATGTCCTAGCTGATCGATGTCCAAACTAGAATGTGAGGCCAACCTTCTATCAGAGTTAAACTTTTGACAAGGGAACAAATTTCAAACCGATGTATCAGTCATGTAGCTGTAGAGTTCGCAGCTTACTAGCAACAGCTGCCCAATGCCATGTGAAGTAACAAACTGGTTTTTGGTTTTTTGGGGGTTTTTTTCCCCTTCAGTTTTAATGTTATGTAATGTATTTAAACCCTTATTTAAATAAAACTTGTTTTCAGAAACATCTGACTTGCAGATTTCTGTTTAATATATAGTCATAGTCAATCTTGTATGTGTGGAGGAACCACAGAAATGGCAGTAGAGGTTACATCTGCAGCCGCAGCTCCTCAAATGGGGCCTCAACCTCTTAATGAAAAACTAGTGAGCTTGTCCCTCCAGGTGCCCCCCATGTCAGCTGTCCTGTAAGCATTCAGCCAGAGCTGTGCTGTCCCATTAATCTGTCCTGAAAGAAGGTGCTGCTTGGCTGACAGACACTTGGTCAACGGCCTGAGTGGTTTAGTGGTTGTGGAGGGACTTGCCTTGTGAGATAACAGAGCAGGGTTGGTTTGGAAATCCTTGACTTCCCTTGTTAACAGGTCTTAAGGACTGTGACAAAATGATAAATATGGTGTGCGACTTGATGTAATCCACAAACCCTAGAAAAGGCATGACGAAAGTAACTTTTCTAGAGAATAGGTTTGTAGTATTAAAAATGTAGTTACTAAAATGTTGGAGAAGCTGATACTTAATGTTGGGAGGCCATCCTTTGACAAAGGCAATGAGTAGTGAAGTGTATCAAAGTCTGCTCTTAGGGCCATTCTGTTAAACACAAAATCTTCCGTTTGTGGATTATGAACTGGTCAGACTTCAAACTCAGAATGGTGGTTAGGAGTCAACCCTTCCCCTCTTGGTTGCCGGCCCATTTTGTAAATAAAGGTTAGCATCCCACATAGAGGCCAGCCTGGAGCCAGGGAGGTGTTTGTGGAAGAGGAGGACCAATGAGATGCAGGGCTGAGCCAGTGGTAATTGCCCTGAAAACAAAATTCTAACCCCAGAGGCAGAGGCTTGTAACCCAAGATCCTACAAAACTCATTGTGTTTAATAAACAACTTACCACTTGGCTCCAAATGTAGTGGCATTGTTCAAATTATTTGGATGATACTTTTAAAAATCAGAAAGATCTGACTGTTAACCAAAAGGGCTCATAGGGGCTTCTATTATAGAACAACCTAGAGGCCTAACCCACAGAAGACCACAATCAGAATATGGGATGAGGGGCTTCCCTGGTGGCACAGTGGTTACGAATCCACCTGCCAGTGCAGGGGACACAGGTTCGAGCCCTGGTCCGGGAAGATCCCACGTGCCTCGGAGTAAGTAAGCCCGTGTACCACAACTACTGAGCCTGCGTGCCTAGAGCCCATGCTCCTCAACAAGAGAAGCCACTGCAATGAGAAGCCCACGCACCACAATGAAGAGTAGCCCCCGCTCGCTGCAACTAGAAAAGCCCCGCGTGCAGCAGCAAAGATCCAATGTAGCCAGAAATAAATAAATTTTTAATCTGTTTAAAAAAAAAGAAGATGGGATGAAACAGTAAGAGAATCCTGTGTCGTTGATGTGCTGGTCCTGTGCTAGATTGTTAACATCTCTTGTGGCTATTAAAGCCCTCCAGTTCTCCAGAATGGGACTATTTGGAAAACTGGCAACATCAGTATTCAATCAGCTGTCTGGAACCAACCAAAACAAGTATCTGAACATAATGGCAAGAGGTTTGTGAACATTATTTATTTATTTTGGCCTCACCAAATGGCATGAGAGATCTTAGTTCCCCCCCGACCAGGGATCAAACCTGTACCCCCCTAGTGGAAGCTTGGAGTCTTAACCACTGGACCACCAGGGAAGTCCTGGTTTGTGAACATTCTAATCAAATTGATGTGACTTGGGTGTATCTCAGGGAATGAAATAAGAAAGGCTAGGGACTTTCCTGGCAGTCCAGTGGTTAAAAATCCATGCTTCCACTGCGGAGGGCACAGGCTCAATTCCTGGTCGGGGAACTAGAATCCCACATGCCACGTGGTATGGACAAAAAATAAATACACAGGGCTTCCCTGGTGGCGCAGTGGTTGAGAGTCCACCTGCCGATGCAGGGGACACAGGTTCGTGCCCCGGTCCGGGAAGATCCCAAGTGCCGCGGAGTGGCTGGACCCATGAGCCATGGCCGCTGAGCCTGCGCATCCGGAGCCTGTGCTCTGCAACGGGAGAGGCCACAACAGTGAGAGGCCCACATACCAAATAAATAAATAAATAAACACACAAATGGGCGTGCCCCCCCAAAAAAGCCTAATTGTCTCCATTTGATAGTTAAAAAATATGAAATGTGGAAATTCCCAAGGCTAATAGGTGGTTGCACATTTTCTAGAACCCAGGACTCTCCACTGCTCTTCCCACCAGATGACCTAAATGGTTTATTTTACAGAGGTTGCATGCTTGGTATATGCAGTGCAGTATGCAAGGAATCGTGGGCCTCAAAAAGGCTAGTCAGATACCCTGTGCTTGGGATGCTGACCCCAGATAGGGGTGTGAGACTGGTACACAGCCGTGACACAAGGCAGAGAGGGGTCAAGGCCACCAGTGGCTTTACCAAAGAGCTGCAGGATCTCTGAGGATTAGGAAATGTTCCCCACTTCCATAGGACCTCCCATAGGACCAGGGAAGGCTTCATAAAGGAGGTGCCATCAGAAGCAGGGCATTCCAGGCAAAGAGAAGGAATCAAGACCCAGGGGTGGAAGCACGTAGTGTGCGTGAGGAAGCCATGGCTGGAACAAAGGCTGTGCATGGAGCAGAAATAATTCAGTACTGCCTCTCACTATATGCCAGGCCGGTGCTAAACGACTCATTTCACAGTACGGACTCAGTCCCATGGTAGACAGATTTCGGAGGGAATATAACTTAACCAGCAAGTAGGTGGGGAGGAGCGGGTGGAGGAGAATAAGGGCTGGGGGAAGATTGGTGTGAGGTCAGTGGGCTGAGCCACGAGCTAAGATGTTTTGATGTTAATATGCAAAAGAATCACGGTAGAGGATGTCCCCCAGGGACTTCCCTGGCGGTCCGGTGGTTAAGGGTCCCCGTTCCCACTGCAGGGGGGCACAGATTGGGTCCCCGGTTGGGGAACTAAGATCCTGCATATGCTGTGCAGCTCGGCCAAGAAAATAAAGGCCGATTAGGAAAATGAATAAAATTTACGGCCAAAAAAAAGGTCTCCCAGCTCTCTGCTCCTTAGTTCCTTTCTCCCACCCCCAGTTTTTTCTCTCTGCCTCATCCTTCCCCTCTCTTCCTTCAGTCTCCCTGCCCAGCCCAATGCTCACCCTCGGCAACGGGGACAAGCAGGACCAAAGACAAAATGAAGGCAAAATGCAGACTGGTGAGCTAAAACTACTTTAAACCTATTCAATTTTTAATCTATAACTAGGTCAAAGAAACCCAGTATATTCGTGAACAAGCATTGTACCAGGAGGCTCTAGAATTGACTCCCTTCCTCGTTTACCAGCCTGGGTGGTATGTGGCAGCAGTGTCAAAACACTTTACTATTAATCTGAAAAAGAATGAATATATGTATATGTATAACTGAATCACTATGCTGTACACCTGAAACTTAACAATGTAAATCAACTACACTCCAATAAAGTTTTTTAAAAAAGAATTAAATTTTAAAATCTATATGGGAGAGACTTCCCTGGTGGTCCGGTGGGTAAGACTCTGCACTCCCAGTGCAGAGGGCCTGGGTTCGATCCCTGGTCAGGGAACTAGATCCCACATGCATGCCGCAACTAAGAGTTCACCTACCGCAACTAAGAGCCCACATGCCACAACTAACACCTGGAGCAGCCAAAATAAATGAATAAATATTTTTTTAATAAAATGTATATGGGAAAAGAATCTAAAAAAGGTTGAATATATGTATATGTATAACTGAATCACTATGCTGTACACCTGAAACTAACACAACATTGTAAATCAACTATACTCCAGTAAAATTTTTTAAAAAGAATTAAAAAAACAAAACAAAACAAAAAACTATTCACGGTCACAATTACTTTGAAATTAAGAGCTCCTTGACTAATTTTTAACTTTTAAGGAGATAAGACATTATTTCAAAATTAGCTCCTAATCTGAGGCTTTGGTAATTTCTTCTCTTGCACTCAACTCCAATTAAAATATTCATAAAATGCACTGTTCTTGGGGGAACCTGTTAAAAATTCAGATTCTAGGCCTCCCCCAGGACAGTTTGGCTGTACTGGGTATTAGCTAACCAGTGCCCGGGTCCCAGCTACTTTTCAAGGGCCTACAAAAATGTCTAAGGACTGAAGAAAAATGCATCATTTCCAAAATCTGACTCAAACACTGCAAAATCAGCATAATTGTTCAACACTACAAAAGCTAACATTGTCCATAGCTGCAATATAATTCTTATATAACTATATGTAAACGTAATAAAGGTTCTGGAGAAAGAATAATATTATTTTTAACAAAACTCAGATTTGTAAAATTTATCAATATGTTTTCAAAAATGTTACAGAATTGCTTCCTCCCTCCTCAAAAAAAAAAAAAAAGTTACAGAAAATGTATGTCTATATGGCCTGTGAGTACATTTTATTCATTTGGTATGAGGTGTGACGTAGCCTCGGAGGATATTACAGAGGCCTACAAACTCCAGGAAATGGCCCTGCCTTTAGGGCCAGAGATTCTGATCCAGAAGCTCTGAAATGGGACCCAGGAACCTGCCCTTTAACCAGCATCAGCCAGTTCCTATGGGAGGGCCACAAACCCCATGTGGGAAAACACTGCTGTGGCTAATGGGGAGATATTGAAGAAACTTGAGCAGGAGAGAAGCATCAGCAGAGCTAAGCTTTAGGGCAGGTAATCAAGAGTATTTTATCTAAGGGACTTCCCTGGTGGTCCAGTGGTTAAGACTTTGCCTCCCAAGGCAGGGGGTGCGGGTTCAATCCCTGGTCGGGGACCTAAGGTCCCACATTCCTTGCAGCCAAAAAAACAAAACATATAACAGAAGCAATATTGTAACAAGTTCAGTAAAGACTTTAAAAATGGTCCACATCAAAAAAAACTTTTAAAAAACAGTATTTTATTTATTTAAGATGGTAGAAAAAGGGGTGACCGAGGGTTACCAGCATCTGAGAAACCAACCCATGAGACTGTGAGAGTTCATGTATAACATATGTGTGTGCATCTTCTTCCAGACCTTCCATAGCTTTAATCAGATCCTTAAAGGAAGCCACTACCCAAAACAGTTAAGAATCTCTGGCCCATGATTTCCTCCCAAGACTTGCGAAGCCCCAGGGATTATCAAAGGTTTTCCAGGCACATCACTACAAGCAGTAAAGGTGCCTATTTCAGTGTCGATTTTTCAAATTAATAGCTATTTAAAATATTTAAAAATAACTCTGAAACAGAGTGTATGTTGAGCAGAAGGCGCACACAGTGGCCAGACTCCAAGGCGCTCAGAAGCCCGCACACTCGCTGCACAGCCACTATCACCAACCGTCATCCAGCTGCAGCCATCCAGATCGTTGCGAGGTTCAAATTATCTTTAATCTTAGACCTTTATGGTTAATTTATACCCAGAATGGACAACTCGTTGAAAACAGGAAGCATAGGGAACGCAGAGGTTGGAAAATGTTAATGTGGAAGCATAAACATGACAGTCATTCTGTGCGTGTGTCAGGTCATTGATTCTCACTCCATTTCTGTGAAACAGTAGAAAACAAACACAGGACCAAATCAGGTGCAGGGAGATAGCTGCTTACTTAGGTTCCATTGTCCCATCATGGAAACAGAGCTAAAGACCTGCTGCTCAGCAGCACCTGGGAGCTTGTTAGATGTGCAGAATTTCAAGCCCCACGGTAGACTTAGTAAATCAATCTTTTTTTTTTTTTTTTTTGGCCGCGCTGGGCTTTTATTGCTGCGCGCAGGCTTTCTCTAGTTGCGGCGAGCGAGGGGCTTCTCTTTGTTTCGGTGCACGGGCTTCTCAGTGCAGTGGCTTCTCTTGTTGCAGAGCCCCGGCTCTAGGCGTGCAGGCTTCAGTAGTTGCGACGCGTGGGCTCAGTAGTTGTGGCGCACGGGCTTAGTTGTTCCAGGAGATGTGGGATCTTGCTGGACCAGGGATCGAACCCGTGTCCCCTAGCATTGGCAGACGGATTCTTAACCACTGCGCCACCAGGGAAGTCCCTCAATCTTCACTTTAACAATCTTCATGAACAAAGTTTAAGAAGCACCAGCTTGGACCATAAAATTAGCAGACCTCATAGAGTGATCTGCAAGCTGGTTAAAGAAAGACAGTAACGTTATGAGTTTAAATTTTTTATAAATGCATTTCCCATTACAGTTTCAGATATGCATTGAAATGCACAAAAACAGACCGTTGAAGAATGGAAAGCAACAGTTATGAGCTAAATATGAACTGATTGGTTAGTACCATGCATCTCCAGATTATTCAAGCAGACAGCACCTGAAAATTATTTTTCTCCTAACATGCTGTTTTCATTTATGACACAGCAGCTCCTTTGTAAGTACCAGGTCACATCCATCCCTTGGTACATATCTCTATTTGCTTTTAGACCATTTATTTTGTTTAAAAATAATAATAATAAAGCTGATTCTATTGAAACGCAAAAAAAAAATAAATAAATAACATGGCAGCGGCTGAGAGGTGCAGAAACCTGGCTGTCACAGCAGTCAGCTGGGGTGCTTTTTACTGGTACCAAGCCTGAGCTCAGCCCTCAGAGCCTCAGGCCAGAACCCCTGGAGTGGCCCATGAGTGATCTCTCCATTCACCACTACCGAACCCTACCAGATCTGCAGGTCCTGTTCATCTGATTAAGGATGTCAAAAACAATGTTGGAGGAGAAAATACAAGGATGGCTATATCAAATGTGGCTTTTCATTTACTGGGACCAAAGACAGCGCCCATCTCTCACGTGCTATCTGTAATGTGCTTGCATAAGTAGCCTGAAACTCTCTTATATCACCCTCCAGGAAAAATAATACAAAGTTTATTAAAAAATATAAGGTGATCCATCCGTATGGACTACAGCTTTAAAAAAAATACATAATGAACTTTAAATCTGCATTTTAACATATATTTGTTCTCATAATCAAGCATGATGCAATATCACTTTTTAATTTGTCTAAAATCGTGCTTTTTCTTCTAATTAAATATAAACAATGTTCTGTCACTTTTTAATGGGAAAGTCAAATTTTATCTTTAAATGGTATGATTATTACAGATATTTTATTTCATTTTTATTTTCATTTTTTATTGAAGTATAGTTGATTTTCATCATTGTGTAAATTTCTGCTGTATGGCAAAGTGACTCAGTTTTACATATATATATACATTCTTCTTTATATTCTTTTCCATTATGGTTTATCCCAGGATATTGAATATAGTTCCCTGTGCTCTACAGTAGGACCTTGTTGTTTATCTATTCTATATGTAATACTTTGCAACTGATAACCTCCAACTCCCACTCCATCCCTCCCCCATCCCCCATCCCCCTTGGCAACCACAATCTGTTCTCTATGTCTGTGAGTTACAGATTATATTTTAAATTAAGCTTTAAAGAAGAACCTGTCATTACCAACCTCAAATAAATTATCTTTTCCTTAAAATGCCTGGCGTATACCTGTCATATGATGAAAATGATCTAAAATTCCCAAGCTGGTTCTCTAGGTTCTTGTGGTGGCTTGTGGTGGCTTATGGAATCTTAGTTCCCCACACACTCAGCAGTGGAAGTGGGGAGTCCTAACCACTGGACCGCCAGGGAATTCCTCTCTAGATTCTTTTTTTTTTTAATTTATTTTTATTTATTTATTTTATTTATTTTTGGCTGCATTGGGTCTTAGTCGAGGCATGTGGGATCTTTTATTGTGGCGCGAGGGCTTCTCTCTAGTTGTGGCCTGCGGGTTTTCTCTCTCTAGTTGAGGCATGGGAGCTCAGTAGTTGTGGCACGTGGGCTTAGTTGCCCTGCAGCATGCGGGATCTTAGTTCCCTGACCAGGGATCAAACGCACATCCCCTGCATTGTAAGGCAGATTCTTTACCACTGGACCACCAGGAAAGTCCCTCTAGATTTTTCGTATGAGAGTAAAAAGGATCATTGATACAAAAAATTGAGACTGGCTGAGAGAGATCTCAGATGCTTTGCTGCTGGAGGCGGGACAGAAGACACGGTGTGGGTGACTCTGAAAAGCTTTCCCGGGTTTATGACGGTGCCCAGGGGGCTCATGTAACCCAGGGTTTCTTAGCCTCAGCACTATTGATATTTGGGACCAGGTAGTTATTGAGGGGAGGGAGAGGAGGTGGTCTGTCCCGTGTATCATAGAACGTTTAGCAGTATCTCTGACC